TACTCCGTGGAAGTCCTCGGGCTTTACTCTCCACCCCCCAGTCAGTCCTGGTGCAGTCTTTTGGGCCTCTCCCATGACTCTCACCCAAACGGGACTGAGCGATTGCTCAACTATGGCCTGCTTCACCCCTGGCCCGCTTCACCCTGGCCCTTCACTGGACCACTACACCCCTCTCTCGGGCCACAACTCCACCCTTTTACAACAGGGCCTGGAGTCTTCCACCCTTAGGACTCAGCTGCTCTTCTTTGAGCTTAACTGGCCCCACAACTCTGCCCTGCAACTCTCAGGGCCCGGGGTCTTATACTACTCCCTTGGGCTCAGATGCTGTTTATTCAGCATGCCTGGCCCACCTCCAGGGTCCAACACCCCATAGGCCTCAAGTGCTTCTCATAAGCTTACCTGGCCCCGCATAACTCCAATGAGGCCTCCTCCTTCCCCATAGCCTCTCCTATACCTCCAAGATATTCCTGGAGCAGAAGCTCCGCCAGGAGATGTTACTCCCAGATGACTGTTCTCAAAATGCTCTGCTCTTATAACAGAGCTCTCCCAAAATGGCTGCTCTCGTTACCCACTTGGCAGCTCCCTGCTCCAGCCCTTAAAGTGACAGACACCCTAAAGGGTTTTCTGTCACAACCAAGTCTATATATTTGAAGAATCTACATTGCTACATATTTGGATTATTGTTCGCAACACCATTTAGTACAATAACATTGAATACTGAGGTTCCAATGCAATATAACTAATACATTTTGACGGTTTCTCTCACAAGATGCTAGTAGTAAAAGTGAATAATGTAATTCAGAACTATGGTCTCTCTGTCTCCCCGTGAGACTATACATATGATATGTTTATAGAACTATAGAGACTTTACTTCCCCAACACTGTTGAGGAACTCACTCTAAGACAGGTATAAAGGACTGCAACAAGGAAAATTTAGCATATGTTTTCTGCTTGTTGTTTCTCTTGATTCATAAAACCTGAAGTGTGCACCCCCTTATGTAGTTTTGCCTCAGTCTAAGATTAAATTGTGTATTTCATACATGACCTGGAATGAACAGGTTATGGGTCTGGCCTTTATTTTGTCTGCCAAGGAAAACTATGACCCTGGCCCTGAAATTTTTCCACTGCAACACAATCACTAACAGCAAACTTAAACAGACAAACAAACAAAAAGAAATACAGCTAATATATCCCGAGCACCAAGTTCAAACTTCTGTAAGGAAGAAATCCAAGCAGGTATATTCGTGTCACTGCAGATAAAAAAAAATCATGAAATTATATTAAAAAAAAAAGAGCCTTCCTTTCCCAACAACAACACCATTTATGGGGAATGCCTAACATTAGATGAGATTTACACTAGCAAACCAATTTCTAATAAGAGCCAAAATGGATTAAGTAAAAATACTTAGTATTTTTCTCTCTGGAGGATTTCAAGTTCCAATTTTTGTCATGGTAGTACTTCCTCTAATTCAAATCCCAAGGACTTTTTTATCAGATATTAATGATAGTTATTATTGATATCATAATTATTTGAATAAAAAATTAGTTGACTCAGAAAAACTTCTCTCTCTGCCTAATACCATTTTACTTGGCTTGTATTCCTTTTTTGATCTCATCTCTTGGTACTTGACAGACACACACTGACTGGACAAAAACTCAGTCAGAATTTAAAGTTTTTCAGATGATATTTACAGCATTAAAACTTTGGTTTTATTTAAAAAGAGCAAAGGCATTTTTTAAATGAAACCAGGGGGGAGGTCCTATATAATTTCCAGCTTAAGTGCTTTTTACTTCTACCAGTTTCAGATAGATAATGCATTAACTAGTAGGGTTCCATTAAACAGCTAATATATTTCACATGAAAGAAAAGATGTCTAGGCTCCAGTCTTGTAACATACAGAAAACACAGTCGAGCCAATAAACTAAAGATAATGCTGGCTGAACCAGTCAAAATTCATGCATATGCAGCAATCTGCATATGTACTAGCGGGCTGGAACTTTATACTGCAAAAGGCATGTAGGAGAAAATTAAAACAAATAAAATAGTTGTACGTGTACTAAGCTGAAGCAAGAATCAAAACTGTCATTCTCGTTTTGATCAATGTCTTAAGTAGCATACCAGTCACCAAAACATTTTACGATACAAATGTTACATATTAATAGCTATATTGGTTACAAATGTGGAAGAATAAAAAGAAAACCCTTAACTGGTGAATCTATGCCACAAACACTCCCCATTAGAAATGCAGCTTATATAAAGCTATTAAAAATACAGCAAGAGGCATTTGCTGGTGTTAGCTTTGTCTCCACAAGAGGGCTTTGCTGGTGTACTGATATTAGCCAACCCTTCACAGCACAGACAAGGGTGCCTGACTCATCTCGGCCTCAAGGGCTGGGTGAGTGGCGCGGGGCTGGTCCATGGGCCAGATGAATGGTGCATGGCCAGTCCCAAGGGCTGGACCGGGCCCATGGAACTGCTTCCCTAAAGACAGCTTTCATTTTTCACTAAGCTCACTGTCCCTAGATTTATGGTAAATAAAGTATAGGTCAAAGGACTGACAAAAGGATGCTTAATAGCTTCATGTAAGAAAATAAAGCCGCAAATCTAGAAACAAGCTACAGACATTTTTAAGTTACTTGGATAGTCCCATTTACTTCAGTGGCATTACTCTCATTCTCACTTTTAAGTAGACAGTTTTGATTTAATCTTATACAAAAATATTTACCAGTACCCCAAATTTAAGCTTACAGAAAACATACCATATTTTTGCTTGGAACAATATTCTGAGGATTTGATGCATTTAGGAGTACTTTGATTTATGCATATTTTTCCAGTGCTTACTTCTGGAGACACCAGGCTGAGATCAAAATCTTCAATGTAGGCCTCGAGTGCCTGAGATGCAGAGTTGTACAGCTTCTCTTTGTAGTGAATTGAACTGCTTGAGCAGGAGTTATTACTGTCAAGGTTGCAACTTGCAAGAAGAGACGTTATTGTAGATTCAGGAGAATAAAAGCCACCTTTTTTAAAGAGCACGCCATGGCTTTTATCAAAATGCCTTTTGGAATTTCCACTCATCTTCAGTCTAAAGGAAAAAGAAACAACAACTAAGCGATCAACTGCAAACATCTATTTAATTCCCTGCTGCACAAGATTCTACCGTTCGGTCACTGATTTCCATAGGCGTACTATTGAAAAATTCTGTTCAGCCAGTTAGGATTTAACTCACTTATTAACAAGATATTCAAACTAGCTAATGAACTCAGACCTTCACAAGTCTACAACAAAAAACCCAAGGTCTGTCAACTGTACAACAGTAGGCTCCAACAGAGAAATAAAGCCAACAGTTCAACAGGAAAAAAAGTTTGTATCTGGAAAGAGAACACAAAAAGGACCTGGATGCTATCAGGACACCTTTGATGATGAAGTTAAAAAGGTAGCTCTTTCCAAATGACACAGCGTGAATGTCACAGATAAGGTATCTAGCACATGAACAGATGATGTTCTGTCACATTACTGAACTTAGCTGAAACACCCTGGGTTATAACATCTCATGGATCTGATGATCTGTAAGGTCCCTTCCAGCCCCTAACATCTATGGAACTATGAAAGCAAAACCATCCCAAAAGACAAACCCATTAAGAGCAACGCAAAAGTGGCCAAAACGGTTTTTAACGGCATGAACAAATGGACCAAACGAACAAACCAAAAGAGAAGATTCATTACATTATTGCACCTTGCCAAGAAAACTTCAAGTGAGAGAGGAAGACGTTGTCATCAGGAATCCCAATGACTAAATATGTGGGTGACTCAGTAATCTACAGCAGCGGTTCTCAAACTTTTGCACCTTACGTCCTGCTGACATAAGGTCAAAAAAAAAGTCCTGGTCCCACCAGTCGAGGAGCAAGGGTGGTGGGGTTCCCCTTAAGGCCAATCAAAGAGCAGGAGGGGGGGGCCCCCCAGAGGCCAATCAAAGAGCAGAAGGGGGGGGCCCCCAGAGGCCAATCAAAGAGCAGAAGGGGGGGGCCCCCAGAGGCCAATCAAAGAGCACAGAGGTGAAACCGTAAGTCCCCCCGAGGCACTTCTGGTTTCGCCATCCCAAACCTGAGTCCCGCCTAGAGGACCTTCGCGTCCCACCGACCTAGAGCAGCGTTTCTCAACCCATGGGTGGTGACCCAAAAAGCGGGTTGCAAGAACATATGAAAAAGGAGGACGAACAAACTTCTAAACATGCATCGACTTTAAAACCGGATTCGTCTTTAAAGGAGAAAGCGGTGGGAACACCGCGGTGGCTGTCCCCTTGCCGGCCGGCCGGCAGCGCTCCGGTCTGCTTGGCCCCCCCTGGCAGCGGGTCGCGATGGCCACTCATGTTTCACAACTGGGTCCTGGTACAAAAAAGGTTGAGAGCCACCGATCTAGAGCAGAGTTCAACCTTTTTAGTACCCGTAAACATGGATCGGTCCGGACCCAGCGAAGAGGTTACGTAGTGAGCCTCCTGCCAACCTAAACCTGTAGTTGTCCAAGTTTTGCTCCCTCGACGGTGAAAGGAAGCGATTGCCCATGTTTTGCGGCGATTGCTCACAACCCTTTCGCACCTCCTCACGACGCACTTTTGGGCTGTGACTCAGGGGGTGAGAACCGCTTTGCAGATCCTGCTCCATTAAGATATGGCAGCTGATCCCGCCCGCCCGCCACACGTAGCAGCATGCACACACACGACGCCCCCTCCCCCCCCGAGGCCTGCTCAGGTACCTGCGAAAAAAACCCCAGGCCTTCCAGCCATCGAGAGAGGAAAATGCTCAAAACATGAAAACCTGCATCTCACTTCGACCCATCAGTAAAAGATTTGTTTTAAAAAAAAAAAAAAACCAAACCGAAGGGTTCACAGCGAGATGAACCCGCCGCTTTCAAAAATGTCCGCCAGCGGCCTACGCATGCGCACGGAGCCGCGCTGCTTTCTGGGAGCTGTAGTCCCGCCCGCCCCGGGCAAGCTGGGACTGCAGCTCCCGCAATGCTGCGCGCCTTGCACTGCCCTGCTGCAGGCGCCGGGCAGGGGCGAGCGAGCGAGGCGGTGTCAGCGCGGGAGGGCTGCGGTGCGCTGCAAGGGCTGAGCTGCAGCCCTCGGGCAGGTGAGTGCGTGCGGCAGAGCTGCGGGCCCGGCCGGCCGGGCAGGGCAGGGCAGGGCAGGCCAGGCCCAGCCCAGCTCAGCTCAGCTCAGCTCAGCTCAGCTCAGCTCCTCGCTGGCATCCCTTCGCTGCTGGGTACGGCAGCTTCTCGTTTTGGCCCCTTCCCAGTGCTGCCGACTCACTCAGCCAACTCGCTCCCTGCCTGGAAGGAGGTTCCTGTGCGGGTGGCAGGTGGCGCGGTCGCCTGTTCCCTGCCGGAGGGTTGTGTGTCATGAATATTTCATCTATCTCTAATGAGAAAAATGAGGTTTCTGTGTATGGATGGATATAAGTAAGTGTGTGTGTCTATGGATGGATATAGGGGTGTGTGTATGGAAGTGTGTGTGTGTGTCTATGGATGGATATAGGGGTGTGTGTATGGAAGGATATAGGTATGTGTGTATGGTTGTGTGTGCGTCTGCATGGATGTGTGTGTGTGTGGATGTAGGTGTGTGTATGGTTGTGTGTGTGTATGGACGTGTGTGTGTGTCTATGGATGGATATGGGTGTGTCTATGAATGTGTGTGTCTATGGATGGAGATAGGGGTGTGCGTCTGGATGTGTGCGTGTCAGGTGTGTGTATGGTTGTGTGTGTGTATGGACGTGTGTGTGTGTCTATGGATGGATATGGGTGTGTCTATGAATGTGTGTGTCTATGGATGGAGATAGGGGTGTGCGTCTGGATGTGTGCGTGTCTACGGATGGATATAGGTGTGTGTGTGTGTGTGTCTATGGATGGATTTATGTGTGTGTCTATGGATGGATATAGGTGTGTGCGTCTGCATGGATGTGTGTGTGTGGATGTAGGTGTGTGTATGGTTGTGTGTGTGTATGGATGTGTGTGTGTGTCTATGGATGGATATAGGTGTGTCTATGGATGTGCGTGTCTATGGATGGATATAGGGGTGTGCGGCTGGATGTGTGTGTGTCTATGGATGGATATAGGGATGTGTGTGTGTGTGGATATAGGTGTGTGTGTGTCTGGATGGATATAGGGGTGTGTGTCTATGGATGCGTGTGTCTATGGATGGATATAGGTGTGTGTGTATGGTTGTGTGTGTGTGTGTCTGGGTGGATATAGGAATGTGTGTATGGTTGTGTGTGTCTATGGATGGATATAGGTGTGTGTCTGTGGATATAGGTGTGTGTATGGATGTGTGTGTCTGGATGGATATAGGTATGTGTGCGTCTGTGGATGGATATAGGTGTGTGTATGGATGTGTGTGTCTATGGATGGATAAAGGTGTGTGCATGGATGTGTGTGTCTATGGATGGATAAAGGTGTGTATATGGTTGTGTGTGTGTGTGTGTCTGGATGGATATAGATATGTGTGTATGTCTATGGATGGATATAGGTGTGTATGGGTGTGTGTGTATGCATATATATGTGTGTGGATGGAATGGATGGGTGTGTGTGGGTGTGGATGGGTGGAATGGATACGTATATGGGTGGGTGGGTGTGTATGTAGTGTATATAGAAATAAATATTTGTGCAAATAAAAACAAGAGAATGTCCAAGGATCTGGAGGCATGTGAAGCCCGAGGCTGAAAGGTCTGAGGTGGAGGATGCTTGCAGGTAGTAGGGCCACGTAAGGCTTTGGAGTGATTTAATGGATTTGGAGCAGATCTGGCTAATTTGATGTGGTACATGAAAATGTTCCTGTCTCCCTCCTGCCGTGCTGCCCACCACACCATGCCCAGCACATGTTGGGCACCACGGACTGCCCTCCAGCTTTGAGCTGCCCTCGCACCTTTTAACCTCTCTCGGGTGAGCCTGTAATCCTCTGTAAGCCACCTGGGGGGCCTTATTCCATCCAGGAAGAGCGCACACCAACTACAGGTGCTTCCTCAGCCGAAAGCTTGCTAAGAAGAATTTTTCCAACTTAGCTGGCAGCTCCTCTATGGAGCTGTTGCCACGGGCGGGTATCTGGCAATGGTTCATGGGCACCCCTGACACCTGCCCTTTGCAATCAGAGAGGGGGATCCTGGCACATGCCTACCTGGAGCGCACTCATTTGCAGCCCCTTCACCTCCTCCTCCAGCACCTCCTGCTGCAGCTGTGGCTGCACAACTTCCCACACCTCTTTGTTAACGTGCTCCTCATCCACAGCTCCGCCAAGTCCGGGGAACGTCCTGGTCAACCACCTCCTGGCCCTAGGCAAGCTCATGATATACCTGACCAGGAAGGATGCTCTAGTCAGAAGGACCCCAGGGACTGCACGGCTGTTTTCCTGTCCCTGGTCCACTTATGTCTCTGGGCAGTTTCACTGGGCAGTGTCCACTGTCTCCTTGAATTCATTCGCGGGCCAGGGGCACTGTCCACTGTGCTCTGCTCAGTGTCCCTCTTTGGTGCCCCTCTTTTGACCTTCACTCCCCCATCCCTGTTTTGTTTTATGCTGTCCCCCAATTTCAGTTGATGAGTACCCAATAGCTCCCTCTAATAATGGGGGGAGGATTGTGGGGGGTAAACCATTGCTCTATGGGTGTTAAGCCCATATTAACCTTGTGTCAAATAGGCCTCATCTTTAGACCCAACCTTTTTAAGACTTGAGGCACCCCTCAGTAAACTCAAGGAATCCCTTGATAGGCTCAAGGTTCTCCTTGGAAAATGCCAGGTTTTAGCTTCCACTTGGTTTTTGACTTGGGAAAAATAGTAGAGCAATTCCTCTGTTGCAAAGATCTCAGGAAGACCAGAGCAGGTCACTGAGTTTTTCCTATTTGATTGGGTTCCTGTCTCTGGGTGTCTCATAGGAATCACGTGTAGGTGTTTGTACCCCTAACCCTGATGATACTGAGCAGCATCTTGCTGGATTTATATTTGAAATCAGTTTTTAGCATGAGAATTATGTTTGCACACCTAACACTGCATGGCACCCCACTGCTTGTGGGGCAGCCCCTCTTGAAAGGACCTCAGGGTGCAATGGCAGCCTGGTTGAGATTCCCTGCTTTAGACTATGTGATTTAGTCATGTGGTATGCTATTTCTCCCTGCCCAAGACTTTTTTTATGAGGTGAGAACACCTGGGATAACATGCAACAGGGATTTGGTTGAAGAATAACCATGCTCCGACGGTTCCCATCACAGAAAAGGCAACGAGTGCTGGATATGAACATGATCAAACAGGAGCTGTTCTGAAACCAACACAATGTTCATGCACGTTGCTTACTTTCCAGTAGCTGTCCAGTTGTTGAGCCAGTTCCACCAGTGATGTGGAAACCCGGTGATAATTCCTTATGCTGTCAATGACAACTTCTCCTTTTGTGGGTACAAAAAATAAGGAGGTGTTTACGTTATGCAGGATGTCAGAAAAGACAGCCTTGTAAAACTCTGTAAAGCCCATATTCTCCCAGGACAACCCTACAAAGATTTTTCTTTGTAGTTAATTGTACCCAAATGACTAATTGATTTCACTTGGAGCATATAGATTCATAGATGTTAGGGTCAGAAGGGACCTCAATAGATCATCGAGTCCGACCCCCTGCATA